CTTCAATAAACCACTCAGAAAACTAGAAGTGGCACTGTGGCTCAAGTGGTAGAGTGTTAACCTAGAGCTGAACAGCTAAGGGACAGTGGCCAGGCCCAGAGTTCAAGGCACATGACCAACAACAAAAAGATGCACTGTGGGCTGGGAAGGTGGCTCAGTGGTAGAGTGCTTGTCTTGCATGCATGAGGCTCTGGGTTTGATTCCTCAGCACCACATAAGCAGAAAAAAACGGAAGTGGCGCTGTGGCTCAAGTGGTAGAGTGCTAGCCTTGAGCTGAAGAGCTGAAGGACAGGGCCCAGGCCCAGAGTTCAAGCCCCACAACCAAAAAAAAAAAAAAAAAAAGATGCACTGTACTCATATATAAACTGACAGGAAAATGATAGAATGGGTAACGTTTATCAAGATGCATTCTGCTCATATATAAACCGACAGGTTGAATCAAAACCCCTTTGTACAGCTACTTAGAGAAAAGTAATAAAAATTTGTAAATGAGTAAGAATCATCATCAAGCTGGACACTCTAGTACATGCCTATAATATCAGCTACTTGAAAGGTGGAGGAGATTTGTAGTTCAAGCCAACTTGTGCAAAGGCACCAAGACTCTATCTCAAAAAAATGAAATGAGGGGCTGGGAAGGTGGCTCAGTGGTAGAGCGCTTGCCTTGCATGCATGAGGCCCTGGGTTCGATTCCTCAGCACCACATAAGCAAAAAGAAAAAAGCTGGAAGTGGCGCTGTGGCTCAAGTGGTAGAACACTAGCCTTGAGCTGAAGAACTGAGGGACAGTGCCCAGGCCCAGAGTTCAGGCCCCACGACTGGACCCCCCCCCCAAAAAAAAAAGAAAAGAAAAAAAAAATGAAATGAAAGGGCTGGGGTTAAGCTTAAGAGGAAGTCTTATCTAGCAGTAAAAAAAAGAAGACCGGTTGAGCCAAGTGCCAGTGGCTCTTGCCTGAAATCCTGCCTACTTAGGAAACTGAGATTTGAGCGTCATGGTTGGAAGCCAGCCTTGAGCAGATGACTCTTACCTCCAATTAACCAATGAAAAGCCAGAAGTGGAGCTGTGGCTCAAGTGGTAGAGTGCTAGCCGTGAGCATAAAAGTTCAGGAAGTGCCCAATTCCTTGAGTTCAAGCCCAGGATCAGCACACAAACACATATTCAATCATTTGAGCACTCAAGGAAAGTTCTATCTTGTACAGGAAGCAGAACTTTGAACATATTGCTTCAATATAATTAGCAAAGGTTTGGGTAGACTATACCTAAGAAACTCAGACTATAGAACAGACTCCTCTAAACTACCATAAACATTTAAAGGAAGCTCTTTTTTTGTTAAGAGAATGACAAAGGAAAACTAAAATGCTTGGGCTGGAGCAACTGTTTACCTTCAGCTAATTTGTATGGGTCAGTTCAGAGGAAGAGCTGACCATATTACATGCTCCAAAGTCAGCAGAAGTTAATTCCCCATGTCATCTGTCAGATGATAACTATGACGTCATGAGTTAGGCCTGAGGAAACCCCTCCATTCTGCTTAGGGATAACAGCTAACCTTCCTAAAGCAGACTATGGAGGAAGCACAGATGGTACAGGGGTTCTGTGTCCTCAGTGCAGACAGGATAAATACAGAGAAAGCTGGACTGATAAAGAGATACACACAGGCCCATCATTACGGATTAAAACAACCTGTGTCTTGCCCACATGGAAGTTGGTCATTGAAGAGGATGTCTGTCTACATGGGTTTGGTACTGTTAGAACCTCAGAGCGAACCAGGAAGAGGGTACATCCTTGTCCACCTGAGTGAGACAGGAAAGCCTCACCCCATAGCAACAAACTAGGCCTTGACAAAAGGAAGTGAGCCAGGTAGGGCAGAGGGTGGGTCACAGCCAGGGAGTTGGCGTTCCTGAACGGATCCTGCTAAAGCAAGAGAACCTCTTTCATCTTCTCTGACCAGTGTGAAGACTAGGGCCCAGTCCATTCCTGGGAATATGGGTGTTGTTCACACCATCCCTCCCTAAGGTGAATGAAAATGAAAGATGATGAATGTTTTCTTTTTGTTTGGGGGGGGGGGGGTTCTTGAATTCAGGTCCTGGGTGCTGTCCCTGAACATTTTTGCTCAAGGCTAGTACTGTACCACTTAAGCCATAGCTCCACTTCTGACTTTTTTGGATGGGTAATGGGATGAGTCTCACACTCTCCTGCCCAGATTGGCCTGAAACCACCATCCTCAGATCTCAGCCTCCTGAATAGTTAGGAGTATAGGCATGAGCCACCAAAACCCAACTGTAAGTAACTGAAAAAGCACAAAGATTTACTTTTTTCTGGTGTAGGGGATCAGTTATGGGACTTGAACTGGGCAATGTTCCTGAGATTTCTTGCAAAAGGACAGAGCTCTACCACTGGGTTGAAATGGAGTTAGAATATTTGGAGGTGCAGATACCAACATTTTAATAGTTTCCAGTCCATGAACACAGTAAGTATATCCCATTTGTCTTCTTTTTCTCAGCAATGCTTTGTAGTTTGCTCTGCACTGGTCTTCTAGACCATTTGTCAAATGTATTCCTAATGTTTTTGTAATTATAGATGTTACAATCATTTGCATCATTTCTATTTCTGATTACAGTTAACATGGAGAAATACAATAGTTTACATGTCTTGCATTCTGCAACCACGCTAAACTCACTCAGGTCTAATAACTTTTCAGTAGATATTGTATTTGCTACAAGTCAACTCAGGTTTGGCTTGGCTGGTGCTGGCGAATGAACTCAAACCCTTTGGCATGCTAAACGCACACTGTATACACACTTTATATCCACTCTATATCCACCACTGAGCTCTATCCCTAAACCCTGAAGAGTTTAATTCTTCCTTCCTAATACATTTATCTTTTTCTTAGTGCTCTTTCTTGCTACAACCTTACCTGTTCAGAAGAGTGGGCATCTGTGCACTGAGCCTGGCAGAGAAGGAACATAGCCATTCACCATGGACTGTTGGTTGCTACAGGATTTTGCTTCTATTTTTCCTTTTTTTTTTTTTTTGTCAGTCATGGGGCTTGAACTCTAGGTCTGGGTGCTGTCTCTGAGCAATTCAGCTCAAGGCGAGGGCTCTATCACTTGAGCCACAGCACCACGTCAGTTTCCGGGTGGTTAACTGGACATGAATTCATGGACTTTACTACCTGGCTGGCTTTGAACTGCAAGCCTCAGATTTCAGCCTCTTAAGTTGCTAGGATTACAGGAATGAGCCACTGGCCCTGGCTTGCCTATTTTTAAAATTAATTTTAGCTTTTTTTGTGTTTGCATATGGTACTGAGGAACCGAACCTAGGGCCTCATGTATGCTAGGCAAGCCATTGAGCCACATTCTCAGCCCAAGTGTTTCTATTTTTTATACAAGTGCTTTATTAAAGTGAGGAAAACCCCTCAAAGTACACATCACTTTTAATCATGAATTACTAATAACAAATTGTCAAATTGTTGAGTTTCTGTACCTACTTACTAATTGTCTCATTTTCCTCTTGTATTAGTGAATGACACTAACTTTTGAATGCTAACTCTATTTTGTCGGGCTTCAATAGCTAAAACTGTGTTAGCAATTGACAGGAATGCTGGTGTATATACCTGTAATCCCAACACACAGAAGCTGGAGGTAGAAAGACAAGGACAGCCAAGGATACATAGGAAGTCTGTCTCCCCCTCCACTCCCGCAGGGTGCTTGGTTTATGAGGGCCAATGGTCTACCTTTCTTGAAATATCTTTGGTTTGTGGCCAGGGCAATGTTTGTTTCATAAGAGGAATGGAGTATTCTTTCCTCCAGATTTCTTAAAGAAATCACAAAAAAAAAAAAAAAAGTGTTTTTTTCCCCCACAAAAATGTGGCAATATTCACCACTCAACTCTCTAGAATATAGTTTTCTGAAATTAAAAGTCCAACTAGGGCTTCTATTTCTTCAGTAAACTGAGAAATTCATATTTCCATTTATTTAAATTGCCAAATACATTCTCATTTCGTTTTGGGATTTTTGTATTGTTTTCTTGTTTTGTTTGTGTCAGGGTCCTATTATGTGGCCCAAGTTGGCCTCGAACTCATTACATAGTCTAGGCCAGCCTGCAACTCTAGATCTTCTGGCCTCACTCTCCTGTGTAGCAACAATTGGTTGTGATGCCAATGTCTCCTGACTTACAAGTTGGTACCTCACCTCTGTTCACCTCTGACCGGTCAATCTTGAATTTCTCAGTAACCAGTTTAGAATTTTCTCTTACTTTTCTAATACCAGTGGCTTCTTTTCTGCTACTGCTATTTTGCACCTTACACTAGAATTTGCTCTTCCTTTTCTAGTTTCTTAACGTAGAAGAAATTGAGTTCACTGGTGAGGACTGACTTTGTCCTAATGAAAGCATTTAGGGCTACAAATTTCGCTGAGTGTTGCTTTAAGTTGCGTTACAAGACACAGGTCCACACACAAGAATCAATTGTATTTCTACATGCCAGCAATGGAATGAAACAAACAAAATCAGACAAACAATACCATTTACAGTAACTCCAAGAAAATAAATATATCTCACAAAATATATAGTTTATGGATGGTAAAACCACAGAATGCTGCTGGTAAAGAAACCAAAGATGCCAACAGAGGAGCTGTGGTGTTCATGGGTTGAAAGAATTATATCCTTTTCTCCAAAACTTATCTAAGGACAAACTGCAGTTCCAGCCAAAATCCAAGTGGAATGTTTCTGTAGATATTCAAAATTTCAAACTTTCCATGGAAAGTTAAAACAGAATAGCCAAAATAATTTTGAAAAGGACAATTAAACCTGGAAGAACTGCACCACCAGATTAAGACTTATTGGTGTTGAAATCCAGTGATAGGTGGAAAAGAAGAAACAAGCATCAATGGAGGAGGTTAAGAAGTCAGAAACTGCTGGGCACTGGGGACTCAAGCCTATAATCCTAGCTACTCAGGAGACTGAGTTCTGATGATCATGGTTGGAAACCAGCTCAGGCAGGGAAGACCAGGAGACTCTTATTCACCAGCAAAAAACCTGAAAGTGGAGTTGTAGCACAAGTAGTAGAGCAACAGCCTTGAGCGAAGGGATAGCACCCATACCCTGAGTTAACCGACATCAAAACAAACAACAAAAAAAATCCCTAAAAACTCGATCACATCAGTGTGGCTGATTCTTTCTTCCTTTTTCTCAGTCCCTACTTAGTCTGAACTCAGGAATTGATGATGATGAATTGAGTTTTGACAAAGACAGGAGGAATCCAATGGAGAAAAGACAGTCTTTTTAACGAATATTGCTGGAACAACTACCAATAAGCCCTTAAACACAAACAAAACACATAAATCTCACCCTTTAATTAAAAAAAAAAGTAACTCAAAAAAGATCATATACCAAGACATAACATGTAAAATAAAGACATATTTAGAAGACAGCACTGAAGAAAATTTTTGGGATCTGGGGCTAAAGAATTCTTAGACATGACACCAGAAGAATATAACCTATAAAATAGTAAAGTTGGTCACATTAAAATTTCTTCTCTGTGAAGGAAATTTTTTAATGAAAAGCAAGCTGCAAGTGGGAGCAAATACTGCAGGGCACATGTCTGGCAAAAGATGGCATTCATCTTTTAAACTCAACAGTAAACCCAAATTTAAAAGCACTTAATTACCATTAGGTCATTAGGGAAATGCAACCCAAAACCATGACCTATTAGAATGGACAAAACAAGAAATACTGACCAATACACTGGCCGTTGTGCTGAACAACTTTTCCTTAGGATACTATATAATTACATGCACAAGAAGTGATATTTTGGTATTGTGGTTTCAGACAAGACACCTGCTTTTCAGTCTACTGCAGTCTCAGATAACAGGTGGAACCAGCTGGAACTGTGGAAAGCTTTGCTTTCCACAGGCAGAGTCTTCTGAGCCTGCACTCTACCATGTAGGGTCACCACTTCCTCATTGCTTAAGGCACTGTTGTATTTAACCTTTATTTTGTCCTAAGGCAGGAGTTGGCAAACTGTTTCAGTTCAGACAGAAAATGTTTCAACTTCTCGGGCTGCAAGAGTTCTGTAGAGTAGCAGTCTGCACAGCAGCTGGGGACAACAGGTGAGTGAATGGACCTTTCTATTAGGTGTGTTCTCATCTAACTAAATACTGCCTACAGCTTGGCTGGACCCATAGGCCATAGTTTGCGACCCCCACGTGAGGGGCATGAGCAGTGGGCAGCTAGCGGGCAGGACCAGGGCCAGCCTTCCCTGGTGCTAAGCTCTTATTGAGCACTGCTTACAAGTACTGGTCCCAAGGGGGCTCAAGGGGCATCGCTCTTCTCCATGGGTCTCAGGCTTTGGCACAGACCTGCAGACCTCAGCAAGAGTGGACCTTGGGAGTGGACACTCTGAGGAACACGTCCCTTTAACAAACAAGGAATATCTACCCCCAAAACAGGAAGCAGCTTTACCTGCGCGATCTTGAGATACTAACCCGTTTCCTGGAAGTTGTCTGATCAGAATCACCCACACACCAGTACCACAGGGTGGGCCCCGCCCCCACAGGTGATCTTGAGGTACACTGCAGTGCCTCCAGAACATTCTACTGAAAATCCCCATCTCCACAATATCCACAGCAGGCTTCAAGGCATATACTTTATTAATCTACCTCTCAGACACTAGAAACTAAAATTCAACTGAAATAGAAGAATCTATATACACAGTACTGCCTGAGGGCCAGTTGGGGCTGCTCCTAGTTCTTGAACCAACCTCCAAACTGGTCTGGGGCTCCCTTTCCCCTTGCAGCACAAAAGCCTGGCACTCAGAGGACAGCCACAGCCACTCCACGGCAGAGCCCTCAGCAATGGCACACCAGGCGGCAGGGCACCAGCCCAACACGCACACCACACAGACAAAACACAGACAAGACAGACAAAGACAAGACACAGGTCCCGAGACTGCCGGAAGGGCAGAGTGCACGCATGCCTCAGTACTTCAGGCTGTAGGCTAGGCTGCTGGGGACCCGGGGCCCCTGCAGGGGCGGTGAGTTCCACACGGCAGAGCTGGTGCGCTTGTGGTAGCGGGGCTTGCTCTTCTTGAAGATGTCCTCCAAGTCCAGGGGGAGAATGGTTCCAAAGAGCTCCGCAAGGTTCGGGGGGTGGTAGTACTGGTGGACGATGGCCTGGCTGAGCTGGGTGCCTGAGAGGAACACAGAAGGCTGGGTGAGCTTCCCTACTTCCTCCTCCCCACGCCCACGTGGCAGCGCTGCCCCTGCCCATCCTCTCCTGCTGAGCCAACCCCCTGCCCACAGCACCGCCTAGTGCCCTTGTCCTCCTCCTCGCTGACATCTGCTGGCAGCCAAAGCCAAGCAAGGCACTCCAAGAGAACCCAGGAGCCAGGCTGAGCTCCATGAGCCCTTGGCTGGGGTGCTGCTTACCCTATTTTGTACACAGGGAGACTTGCCTCAAGACACACAGCACACAAGTGGCAGAGCCAGGTTGCAAAGAGGAGCCTGGTAGAAGCACAGCACAGGCACAGGAAGCCATCTCCCTCCCACCTCCTTGGTGAGCTAGCTACTATCATCAGCTCTGTAGGCCAAGGTGCCGTGGACATGGGGCTGAGGCTGTGGGAGGGCACAGCCCTGCCAGCCAGGATGAGGGAGACCCTGGGGCATGGGCCCAGCCCTTGTCCAGCAGCAGGTGCTGCTCCTGATTCGCTGTGCTCTCAGTAAAGCCCAGCTGGGCTGATGATCCCCCACCCCTGCACAAAGGAGCAGAGTGAAAGCGGGCCACCTAAGGACAGCCACCATCAGGTGACTGCTCGTCACACCCACACCGGCTGGCCACTTCTCAAGTGGCTTGAGACTGATTGATGGCTAAAGAGAGTAAGATTTCAGTTATTGAGGAGTTCAAATGAAGTAAAACTCTCAAGAATGAGCAATCTGTACAGAGCTAGCCACCATGGGGTTTCCACGCTCTTCCCTTTGGGGCCTATGCCCTGCTCTAGCCTCCAGATCGGCAAATCTGCAAAGCACCTATCCTGGTCCAGTCCTGCTCCACACCTACAGGGCTCGGCCTCTGCTCCAGCCTCAGGTAACACTCATGCATGCCTCCACTCCTACAGAAATCTGAAAACTGTAGGTCGCATCCTCTCCTGTGCCCCATGCTCCTCCTTCGGGCCTGTGCTGGAAACCCAGGCTCCACTCTCAGCACACTGCCTAACCCCTACCAGCGTTCTGTTCTCCTCACACCCAGGTGCAATGTTACTCCAAGCCTTAGCAGCCCTACTGGGCAAGACTCTAAGGAGAGGCCTGGAGTCTTGGGTCAGTGCACTCAACACTTTTGTGCTCAGAGATCAAAGGAACCCAACACCCTAGGTCTGGTCTGCAGATGAACACTCAAGGCCCAAGACAGGTTTGTTAGGTCAATACCTTGTTGCCAGGTACTGGCACAACAGCCTGGACGACCTGCAGCAGGCAGCCCCATTACTGCTAGGCCCTGACAGGTAAGGACAGGGGAGGATCCAAGTCTTCTGGGGAGCTCGGGGCCCCACTTACCTCTGGCCCAGATGGGGATGGGTTTCCGGGGATGAGCCTCATCATCAGTGGAGTCATCACTATTCAGGTCCATCCCATAGTTATCTGGGTTGATTTTGGGGTGGCTCTTGGGCCCTTGTGGAGTCATTGGATATGAGGTACAAACTGGAGACTGGGGAGGGGGGAAAAATCAACATGGCTGTCAAGCCTCCTACCCTGTACTCCTGTATCTCACCAGTAGGAGGCGTGGAGCTCTCACTGCTGCCCTCATCTCTCAAGAAAAAAACAAGTCACAGACTAGGTACCACTTTGCATCTGTATCTTTTCCAGGGTAGTATGTTACCTTCAGAATGGCTCCAGCAGACCATGTGATTGAACAATAACTGAACGATCTACATAAACAGCCATTTAGCTCACTTAGTTTTCACCATCCTAACTTAACAGCTGTGAAAATCTCTCCTCATTCTAGATTTTTTTTTTTTTTGGCCTGATGTTAGCACCGAACTGAAAAGAGCTTAAGTTCTCATTAACAAGAGCTGGAGAAAATCAGTTTAATTAACTGGAACACACACCAAAAATAAGACATCAACTGAGAGAGAGCAAGGGAAGGGGTGACATTGTCCATAAAGAAATGTATTCTTTACCCGACTTAGGTAACCATAACCCCTCTGTACATCACCTTTATAGTAATAATTTAAAAAAAATAAGACATCTGCATGTATTAAAAATAGATGTCTATAATATACCAAATGAAAAGAAAAAACTCAAGCTTCCCAATGGGACCATTACTTATATGAGTATGTATGGGTGCCTATATGTCTGTGAATATAAAATGGCTATATTTGTCAGGTGCCAGTGGCTCACATCTGTAATCCTAGCTACTCAGGAGGCTGAGATCTGAGGATCACAGTTCAAAGCCAGCCCAGGCAAGGAAATCGATGAAGACTTTTATATCCAATAAACTACTCAGAAAAAGTCAGAAGTGGCACTATGGCTTAAAGTGGTAGAGCACTACTAGCCTTGAGCCAAAGAAGCTAGGGTCAGTGCCTAGGCCCAGAGTTCAAGCTCCAGGAATGGCTAATAATAATAATAATATGAACCCCAAGATAAGTATTCAAATGTTTTTTTTTCTTTCATGCAATGTTTCTAACATTTTTTTTTTTGGGGGGGGGTCCGGTTGTGGGGCCTAAACTCTGGGCCTGGGTGCTGTCCCTTAGCTCTTCAGCTCAAGGCTAGCGTTCTACCACTTGAGCCACAGCGCCACTTCCGGCTCTTTTCTTTTTGCTTATGTGGTGCTGAGGAATCGAACCCAGGGCCTCATGCATGCAAGGGAAGCACTCTACCACTGAGCCACCTGCCCAGCCCTGTTTCTAACATACTTATAAGATGATTTCTATGTTGCTTTGTATGTCCCTCCCCCACGGTATAACCCCTGCTTTCATTGTATTTGATGTTGGTATAATTTAGGAGGGGAAGGGCAAAAACAAATCATTTAACTAGGGATACAGGTGGACCCATTGCAACAATGAGATGTACAACTCGTTATGTCGAAAAACGAACTTTACAACTTTGGTGGGGGGGTGGGGGAGGATTGGGTGGGGGGAAGTGGGGGAGAGTATGGGAAGGGATGGGAAGGGGAAACAAAGAGGAGGCAACAATGCTTGATAAGAAATGAACTCATTGGGTAGAGCGCTCGCCTTGAGCTGAAGAGCACAAGGACAGTGCCCAAGCCCAGAGTTCAAACCCCACGACAAAAAAAAAAAAAAAACAACAACTTATTAATTAAAAAAAAAAAATGTACTCTTCCTTTTTTTTTTGGGGTCGGTGGTGGGTCTTAAACTATGGGCCTGTGCGCTATCCCTAAGCTCTTCAGCTCAAAGCGAGCACTCTACCGCTTGAACCACAGCGCCACTTCTGATTTTCTAGTGCCTTATTGGAGATAAGAGTCTGGTGACTTTCCTGCCCCGGCTGACTTTGAACCGTGATCCTCAGATCTCAGCCTCCTGAGCAGCTAGGATTACAGGCGCGAGCCACCGGTGCGGGCTGGCATATTGTAACCGTTCTGTATGTCACCATTTCCCTAACAATTTGTAAAAATCAAAAGAGATAGGGAGGGGAGACAACAACCTCTCATGGCCGACAAAAATGGAAATGGAAGCCACTGTAGCCACTGTATGGAGCAGCCTGAGAAGTGAAACCCAACGGGCTTCTAATCGATTTGGGATTCTTTGAACGTTTTTGCGATGTTAATCACAATCACAAACACAGACGGATGGTTTCTCCTGTCACTCCTTTAGAAGAATGGGAACAGGGATTGGGAGAAGAGAGGCAGATCCTGGCCTGACCTGGGCAGGAAGATGGAGGGGAGACAAGACTCCTGAACTCCTTCTTCCCCTCTCTCTCCTCTGTCCAGAGGGTGGGAGCTTAGAGGTCGGCCACGGGGACAAAAAGAAGAAAATATTAAAAAAAAAAAAAAAAGGAATGAACTCATTATCTTGCCCATGTAATTGTAACTCCTCTGTACGCTATTTTCACAATAAAAAAAATAATAAAATCATTATATATGTAAAAACATAGGACACACACTGAGCTACAGTTTTCTTCTGAAGACCCCCTTTTTAACTTTATACATTCTTAAAATTCTGGGGTTTTTTTTCAAGTAAAATATTATTTTACATTAAGGAATATACCTATCAAAAATAGTAAAAACAGAGCTGGGAATGTGGCTTAGTGGTAGAATGCTTGCCTATCATGCGTAAAGCCCTACGTTCGATTCCTCAGTAACATATAAATAGAAAAGCAGAAAGTGATACTGTGGCTGAAGTAGTAGAGTGCTACTCTTGAGCCAAAAAAGTTCGGGGACAGTGCCCAGGCCCTGAGTTCAAGCCCCAGGACTGGCATAAATAAATAAATACAGAATCCTACCACAGTGTTACACACATAAAATCCCAGACTGAGGAGGCCAGCTTGGGCTACACTCTTGTTACCACCACCCCCAAAAATATAAAATCAAGGGACATGAACCATCCCCTTTTAAAAAATGATTAAATGTAATTTTATTGTTATTGTTACTGTGTTGTACAGAGGGATCACAATTCCATGAGTTGGAAAATGAGTACAAATCTTCTTAATGTTACCCCTTCCTTCGCTTTCCCCATTTCTCCGTCATCCCTGCCCACAAGCTGCATAGTTCATTTTTTACGTAGTGTATATTGAATACTATGTCTGTATTTGTTTATCCTTCCTCCCTCCATTTCTGTGCTCCCCTTTTGCCGCCGCCCCCCCCTCCCAAAAAACAACAAAAATATGGTCCCATTTCCTGGAATTCATTGTGATAAATAGTATTTTAGATGCTCAGAGGAGTTATGAACTTTTGGGTTCCTCTCTGAAGAGTATGGTCCTCTATCTTCCTAATATGCACAGACTGTATCTGTAACTACTAGGCAGAAAATAATCGGAACAGACAGAGCCCTGTGCGAGGGGCGTGAATCTCACCTGCACGTCCACGGTCACGTTCAGGTTTTTGCCGGCCCTTGCCTCCTCCTTGGCTTTCTTCTGCTCCTCCTGTAGCCGCTGCTCAGCCAGACGCTGCTGCTCCTCCTGTGATCCCCACAGGCAAAAGGGTGTTGTGTGTATGCGGCCTCCCCTCCCCTGACCTCAAATGCAGCCCATGCAGCAAGGCAAGCCAGGGAAGCCCTGCTCCCGTGGGACCAGGCCTCTCAATCCCGCAGCTCACACAGGCCACATGGGGGAGCCCACGCGACCCCCCCCCCCCCAACCCCCTACCTTCTTTTTCTCCTCCAGTTCCTTCTGCAGCCGCTCCTTCTGTAGCCGCATGGCCTTCTCCTTCTCCCTAAAGATCAAGCAAGAGCTTGTTAAGGTGGAAGAGAGTCTAGGCCCTGGGATCTGTGCATACCCTTTAGAGAGTGAGATAGCAAATGGGACACTGGCTTAGAGAACAGCTGCACCTTCGACCCCCACACTGGGAATATGCACTCCTGAAAGCATCAGGAGCACAAGTGGAGCCAGCGCCCACTGCAGTGCAAGCAGACTTGAGGCTACAGGCCTTCTCTTCTGTGATACCTGTCCCCCATCACTGTCACAACAACTAAATGAGATGATCTGCACTACTTCTAGTCCTCTAGTCCTCTCCACCTGTGGGGCAGGCCCCCAATACTGTCCTGTGCCACCCAATTCTGAAACAGAATACTTGCCACTTCTCCCATCTCTCCTTCCCAGACACTGGGAACGCTGACTCTGTCCCCAGAGGACCAGGAACAGCAGTTAGCACCAGAAGACAGGTCTGATGGCCTCCCTGGCCCTCTTGCCTCACTTATTCATGAACCCTGTACCACCACAAGGCTGGAGGTCCCCAGGAGGTGGGGGCTGCAGATCATAGCTGCTGGACTTGCATATCTGCACATATCAATGGTACAGTACTCATAGATCTGGCCCACAGTAAGTGGGGACTATCCCCTAGATATCCCCAGGGCTCAGCACAACCAGGCACAGGAGGGGCCCTGGATAAGCAGTAATAAAACTAAATGTGATGCCTGTGGCTCACGTTTGTAATCCTGAGCTACTCAGGAGGCTGAGAGCTTGAGGATCCAGTCTGGGCAGGAAAAGTCCATGAGACTCTTATCCCCAATTAACTACCAAAAACAAAAACAAAAACAGGAGTGGCTCAGGTGGTAGAGCACTAGCCTTGAGCAACAGAGCTCAGGGATAGCACCCAAGCCCCAGTACTAGTACAAAAAACAACAAAAAAAAAAACCAAATATGCGATTTCTGTCTCTTGAACAGAAACACACACCACTGCTTCTTCAGAACCAGAAGAATGTAGGGCTCATTAGACCACTGGTTCCCAACAGGGCCAGGCTGGGAATGGGGGCAACTCAGGAATAACCCGAGTCATCGTCATCACCAACATGAGGCTAGCTCATCCCAAGATTCCCCCCATCCTACTAGGACACTTGAGGAAAGGACTCCGGGTGAAGGTAGAACACAATGACCCAACCTCATGCTTCTTGACTCTCCCAGAGCCAATGTGCACCTAACCCAGTGGTCTAAGCTGCAGACATCTGGCTTTGAAACCAACGGAAAAGTTAGAGTGAAGTGGGGAACCAAAAAGAGGTGAGGGCCACATTTCCGGCCAACCTCTCACGAAGGCTTCCTTACTTCTCGGCCTGGAGCCGCTCTTGCTCCAGTCGCCGTCGCTCCTGCTCAGCCTGCTGCCGTTCTTGCTCCCGCTGCTCCGCCAGCCGCCTGGCCTCAGTGGCCTTGCGCAGCCGCTCCTGCTCCTCCTCCTCCTTCTTCTTCTTCTGCAGCAGCTCTTGGTGGCGCCGCTCCTCCTCCTCCTGAGACCAGGATGCAGGGAGAGGTGAGGGCGCTGGGGCTAGGCCTGGGCCACAGGGCGGGGGACAGGCTGGCTGGAGGGGTCAGGGCCCGCTCCTCTCCCATGGGCTGCCACCAGTACAACAATAGAGGCTGTGCCACAAGACCTCCCAGCAAGACTCTGCAAAACCTGCAAGGATTGCCCCAGCCAGCCTGAAAGGCATCTGGCAACAGCAGCTGCAGATACAACAAGGGAAGCTCAGCACCATGCAGCCAGACTCAAGAGCTATATGAAGCTGGGCAGTAATGGCTCACACCTATAATCCTAGCTACTCAGGAGGCTGAGATCTGAGGACTACTGTTCAAAGCCAGCCCAGGCAGGAAAGCCCATAAGACTATCATCTCCAATTAACCCCTCAAAAGCCATAAGTGGAACTGGGGCTCAAGTAGGAGAGCACCAAGCCTTGAGCAAAAAAACGCTTAGGGACCACACCCAGACACTGAGTTCAAGCCCCAATACTGGCACCAAAAAAAAAAGAACTGCGACATTGGGCGACTTGCTTGACTCCTGCAGCCTTTGATTTTCCCTCCATAGGACAGCAGTAGTACCTACGTCTCACGAAGTCGCTGAGTTAAGTCAAAATGATGCCTAACTTGGTATGCAATAAATCCTAATAGTAATAGAACTTTTCAGTGATGACCTTTGGTTTCTTACCATTTGGTTTCTAACAATTCCTAGAAAGAGGCAGGTTGCTACTCTTCCAGTGTAACATTTGAGATGGATCTTGGCAGCAACCATGTGCAGAACATCCTAAGCACTATATCTATTAATGAATACATTCATTAACTCACCTAACCCTCAGGAAAACACCATTGCTACTCGTAGTAACAGAAGCACAGAAAGGTCAAGTAGCCTGCCCAAGGTCATGCAGCAATACATGGCATTGCAGAGATGGGAATATGGCTCCTAGAGAAGGTAAGGAGTGGGTGGCAGTCACCACCTTATCTCCAAGGCACTGGGTGCACCTCCTCTGGGCTTGAAGATTTCCCAGGCTCAATCCCACAAGGTGGAGTATACCTCGCAGCAATGACAGTGCCTGTTCTGTGCACACAAACCTGTTGGAGCCACTTGAGCCTGCGTGCCTCCTCCTCCTGCTTCCTGCGGGCCTCCACCTCTTCCATCTTCTTGGCTGCAGCCTTCTTCTTGGCCTTCTCCTCGGCTAGCCGTTCCTCTTTGGCCTACAGAACCCACCCACAGGTGCTTACTAGAGCAGCCAGTTTCTCAGCCCTGTACAGCGGGTCCCTGAACTCTGCTTGATGGTCACCCTGTCTCCCTGCTGCTGCCCATAGGAAAGGGGCATTGGCAGCTATGCCTGCCCAGGATTACCCAGGCACCAAAGGCTCTAGGAAAAACCAGAGGCCAGATACCAAATTCTCAGCTCAGAATGGACCCAAGGACCCAAGGGACAGATGAGGCCAAACCCATAAACTTTTGGAGGGGTCCAGTCCTACCCTGGAGGCCACTAAGTCTGCGATGTGTGGGCTCAACTATGACCCAGCCCACCTAACAGCTTGGCCACCACCAAGCCCACCTAACAGCTTGGCCACCACCAACCCAGGCTCAAAACCTTCTCCGTCTTCTCATCAAGCTGAGCGAATTTCTGCTCAATCTGCTTCTTCTTCTCCTCCTTCATCTGTTCCACCCGCTCTCGGGCCTGCAGCACCTTGCGGAGGCGCTCTTCCCTCTTCCTGTGGGCACAGGGCAGTCATGAGGAGCCCTGCTAGGGTCAGCGCAGGACATGCTGGGAGCCCGGCCACTTACTGCTTCACTTCCTCCAGCCGCCGCCGCTTGTCCTCCTCCACCTTCTGCCTGCGCAGCTGCTCCGCCACCTCCTTCCGCCGAAGGTTCTCCAGGCGCTGCCGCTCCTTCTCCTGGGAGTTTGGGGGTGAACTGGGTTGTGAGGACAAACCCGAGCCCCCAGGCTGCCAGCTGTGTGCCATCAACCCTCAGCCAAGTGAGCAAAAGCATCTGATTGCTTCTTAAATGCAGAGATGGTTCCAGCATGCCCTTCGTGCCCAGCCAGGCCAGCCCCAAGACTTCCATCTCTGATACCAGGACACAAACACTTTCCCAGAGCCATAGTTGCAAGTGCCTTCAACTGGGTGCTGCCAAGTTGTGGGTGGCACAAAACTCAATCTCAAAACCAAACATGTACACTGCAGTTAGTTAAACAGTGCACTTGAAAAGAGAATGGGGACTGAGACTGAGAAGAGACAGAAAGGCAGCTCAGAAAGAAAGTTACAGCTAATGCTTGATTTAAGAACTATCATTTTTAAGTCAGGTGCTAGTGGCTCATGCTTGTAATCTTAGTTACTCAGAAGGCTGAGATCTAAAGAGCAGTTCAAAACCAGCCTGGGTAGGAAAGTCTATGAGACTCTTTTCTCCAGTTAGCCACAAAAAGCCAGAAACAGCCTTGAGTGAAAAAGCCAAGGGAGAATTTAGAACTAGAAATACATTAACTGAAAATCTGAGATACAAGCTTTCATTACTTATGCTCTTAGGCTGAATTTTACCAATTTTATAAGAAAATTCAAGGCTTCTGAGTCTCATACAATTAATTTCTCCTCTTCCTCAGTCCTCAAGTGAGCTGGGTCATCCCTGCTTCCCAGAGCCACCCACAAGATCCAAAGGGTGGGAGGAAGTGGCAAGCTGGAGCCCTTCCATCTCCAGAGGCCTCACCCGACCGCCCACTCTCTCTGCCAGGCACCAACCCCCCACTTTATACCAGACCCTGCACTCAGTGCCTGACTCAGTCATGCCTGGAGCCACCAAATCTCCACAAAGTATTCGTGAGACTCTCCATTTTGTGACTTAGGACCAGAAGTTAGGAAGAGTGTCCACAATCCCAGGAATCTAGAACCTTCCTCGGTCCCTGGTCTACCAGCTAAGGACTAGCTATACCCACCAGATGTCCTTGCAGAGATCTGAACTGCCCAAAGCAGGTATGGGTAATTTCCTGGGCCTCGTAGTCAGGCCCAGGAAATTGGCCGAGAGAAAAAACACACATGACGCTTCCTAGGGGCCCAGTGCACAGCAGGTACCTGGCACAAAAACAGGTACATAAGGCCACAAAGCTCACTAGTCAGTATATTGGAAGGCATGCACTATCACCTTGTAAACTAGAGAGGCAAGCTCAAGACCCACTGCCAGCTGCTGAGAAGCCCCTCCCACATGCCAACGCCCTCAGCTAGAGGCAGAAGACCTCAGGGTGGCAGTGAGTGGCTTCTCAGAACTCCTATGGGAATAAAGAAAGGCACTGTAGCTTGGCAACAGACACAGAACCAGGACTGTGAGCAACCCACGGCTCTTGCTCTTGGCCAACAGGCTGGCTCAGCTCAGCTTGGAGGTGTCTGAGAAGAGAACAGTTTGGGTGATCTTTTTCCAGAGGCCACTGCCAACAATTCCACTGTAACCAAGAGGGCAGACCCAGTCTCCAGCATGGGTTCAGTAGCCAGAACTCCCCATCCTTTCCCATCAAAGTCATTGCTCAAGTGTGATCTAATAAATCTCTCAGAGACTCTAAGGACCAGCCACAACCTGTCTGTTCTCTTCACAGACCCACAGGCTTCAGTGCTAGGGGAAAGAAATGGCATGGGATGCACTTCAAACTGTGGCTGTCACACCCCACTGTATCCTTCCCAGAGCAGTGCAATGTCAGGACCAGAGATGGCAGAGGGAAGACACAGGTCCCCAGCATGGATGAACACCTCAAGTGTCTCCCACGGCCTCATCTCTTTTCCAGTGATGTTAGTGATTATATAAGGACTATAAGCTATGCAAACAGGGCTACAGAGGAAAACCACTACACACTGCTTGGTTACAGGACAGGACAAGACAAACTTTACTTACAACAAAGCTGCACTGTGGAGGAGAGGAGACAGCAAAAAGCTGAGAGTTAATGTCAGGCTAGGAGATGGCACACAGAGCAGACCATGCGCCCAACTGCAGCAGCACATCTGCTCTGGGCCTGCACCTCTAACGTCCATGTCAACCCAACCCTCTCCCCCAACAAAGTATCCTCATACGCCACTCGCACTACCTAGGCTGGGGGAATGGAGGGAAGCACAGTGGTCTGCTATGCCCACGCTGCTACCTGCCAGCCCAGGACTCTCTAACATGGCTGAGACTCTGGGTTACAGTCAGAATCCATAAGGCCCTTGCCCAGGGCCAGGCCAGACTTTCCTCCTCCTGGATCCAGGCTCTCAGTAGCCTAATAGAAGACCAGAGCCTTCAGCCATGGTTCCAGTTCCAGCAAAGCCCAGTAGGGGGCAGCCTCTCTCACCTTAGGGTCCACGCGCAGAGGAGTATTGCGCTTAATGAAGGATTTCATGATGCTGCTGCGGGAGGCCGAGGTAGGGGTCATGAGCAACTGGTTCCTCTGTACTGTATGCAGGAAGGTCCGGAGGGGCCGCACCACCTGCCGACAAGGGCAAGCAAGGGTCAGCACTGAGTGGGCAGACAGGGCAGAATGCAAGGTAAGGGCAAGAACCTGCTCACCTTGTTGGCTGGACAGGGCGGAGAAGGGGTCTTGGTCCTGGGGGGCTGTAGGTCCTCATCCTCCTGGAAATTCTCCTCATCCAACTCACTCATTGCCTGCTTGTAGCTACGTTTCCTTCTGTCCAGGACAGGTGACAGCATTACAGGGCAAATCTAGGAATCTTCCTGCAGCCCTGCCACACCTCACAAGAGCTCACTCTGTGAGCAAATCTGGGCCCAGACCATAGGACTCTAGATCAGAAGGGACTGTGCAGATCAAATCATGATGCCTACTCAGAGAAAGGGAAGTGTCCAGTCACACAGCCAGGAGGATAGAGAGAGTCAGGGTCTACAGCCACATCACCTGATTTCCCAGCCAGCTGCTCATCTCAGGCGTCATGCTACTGCATTTGCTGAGACAAAACACCAGGCCACCACCCCAAACAACAGGTGACAGAGCTTGGGACCACATGTCCACACACACATGCTTGGGTCATGTTCCTGAGCCCCTCCCAGTCACTGGCTTGCCTCTTCACAGCACAAACCTGATGCTCTGGGGCGGCTCCCTGTGTCCATCTGCTGGGTCAGTCTTGGACTCTGGAAGAGAACAATTTCAACAAGATTGACGCATGATGCTGACGAGGGTAAGGGGTGCATGAAGGGCCCAAGGAAGGGGCCCACTGGTAGCGGCAGTGACCATAGCAAAGGCAAGCCTCCCTTTCCTGATAGCCTCTAGGTAGCCTGAGGCAGAAGCTTAACACCAACTGGCCTTGAGGAATCTAAATTCAACCAAAGCCCAAAACATATCTCCAGGACAAAGCCCTCACCACGCCCAGACATCTATGGCAGGAATGGCAGAGCAGTCCCATCAAAGCCCTCACCATGCTCCACTCTCTGACACAAAGAGCAGTGTTTAGCACAGCTGCTACACGCGCACGGCCTGGCCTTCAGCGGGTGCCACCAGGACAGGAGGGGAGGCCTCCTACACAGGGCCACCATGAGGGACAATCAGTATGGTTGGTTTCACCATCACTTAAGAAAGCACCTTGGAGAGAGTGAGGGAAGGGTAGATACTGGATGAAAGGAAATGTGCCTGACTCATGTCATCGTAATCCCTTTGTATATCATCTATCTAACAATAAAGTATTTTTTTTTGCCAGTCTTGGGGCTTGAACTCAGGGCCTGGGCACTGTCCCTGAGCTTCTTTTGCTCAGGCTACCACTCTACCACTTGAAACACAACACCACTTCTGACTTTTTCTGTGTATGTGGTACTGAGGAATTGAAACCAGGACTTCATGCATGCTAGGCAAGTACTCTACCACTAAGCCACATTCCTAGCCGATATTTTTAAAAAAGAAGGAAAGCACCTTTTATTCCAAACGGTCCCTTGCAGCACCCCTGGGGACTGTGGGGCTAGCATGACTACTATCACTTTAACCCTCCACCTTTTTTTGGTCAGTTGTGGGGCTTGAACTCTGGGTCTGGGCGCTGTCCCTCAGCTCTTCAGCTCAAGGCTAGCGCTCTGCCATTTGAGCCATAGCACCACTTCCAGCCTTTTCTGCTTATGTGGTGCTGAGGAATTGAACCCAGGGCCTCATGCACGCAAGACAAGCACTCTACCACTGAGCCACCTTCCCACCCTCACTTACCCCTTTGTAGAAGATTTTAAAACCAGTAGTCAGCAATCTCAGAGCTCAAGCCTATAATCCCAGCTATGCAGGAGGCTGAGATTTTGAGGATCTCCATTTGAATTCAGCCCAGGCAGAAAAGTCTGAGAGAGTCTTACTTCCAATTAACCGGCAAGAAGCCAGAAGTGGAAGTATGGCTTAAGTGGTAAAACACCAGACTTGGGCAAAAAAGGCAAGTACAAACATGAGGCCCTGAGTTCAAGCTCCCATATACACAAAAACTAAACAAAACAAAACACCCACATAGTATTTTCCCACAAGAGAAAAAAAAGTGCCCTGCCGGGGAGACATCAGCCAGACTCCAAGACTCTTCCAGTACCCTGTAAGCCAGGTAGATCCAGACCCGCTCTCAGAGCCCTCTGTCCTCTTTAGTCAAGAAAAGATAGAAGTCAGAAGTGCACCGGAAGACCAGGTGTGGTGATAAAGCTTGGAATCCCAGCTACTCAACAGGTGAAAGTAGGAAGATTGTTACCTAGCTCAAGCTATCTTAAAAGCAAACTAAAGCAAATTAAAATTAAAATTTTGAAAAAAAAAAGTTTAAAAAAACCAAGCCAGTGGAAGAGACAAAGCTGGAGGCCATGTAAGAGTTCAGACCCCCAACCTACAGCTAGCTCTTCCTGATTTAACCTAGGTTTCTTTCTGATTTAACCAGGGCTTGAGGCATGGCACTGGTACCTTTATATTCATAACCTAATTCTGGTCCTGCCCCCTGCTTCCTGGTCCAGCCAGCCACCATTATTCACACAAAGCACCCAGCAGCAACCAAAAGACCTGTTACCTAAAAAAGGGGGCTTCTTGTCTCTAGAAACAGGGCCAAGCTGAGGCCACCACAGCCCACTGCAGCTCTGGGAATCTGAGTGTACTCACCCTGCTGCTGTTGAGGGGATGTTTCTTGCCCATATGCCACAGGCTTCAGTCTGGGTGTACTAAAGGTACACAGCGTGCTCCCATCATTCTTAGAGACCTGCAGGGAGAAGTGAGGCTTGAGGACATTGCACCTGCAATCTAGGACTCAGGACAGCCATGTTGTAGCTCTTGAGCCCTGGAGGCCTCAAGGCCTTCCCTCCCTGGCCACCTTACCTCTGTCTCCGCTGCCTCTCTGGGCTCAGCCTCCTTGCTGGGATCCTGCTCGGGACTGAAAGCAGAACAAAGGCTCTGTGAGAGCTGCCCAGGGAATCGAAGCTCTCCTGACTCTCCGGGATGGGGTGAGTGTGGGATGATCTAACCTGGACCACAGGTTGCCCCCTTGGATGCAAGGACACAGCCAATGAACAGTAGCTTCTTGAGCAGAGGAAGTTTCTGAATTCTACTTCATCTTATCCTATCACACTGATTCAGGCAGGAACCTCTATATTCTAGATCATAAATGTCCTCCAAAGGCCTAGGGGCTAAAGTTTCCCAATGTAGTAGGAGATAGTGGAAACTTTTGGGGTGGAGCCTAGTGGGTAGCCTTCAGGTATGGTCTCTACCACCATAGGCCTATTTGGACATGGACTGAAATCTCCAAAACTTCTCCTTATGAGTTAATGTATCTCAGGTTATTCCTTACAGTAATAGAGAGCTTTACTTCCAGCTCTGCCTCAATCTCCTGGGCCCAGAAGAACCCCATCTCTTTTGAGGCTGCTCACTACACACCAGGGACTGGCCAAGCCAGCACTGTGCTTAGTAATCCCATCCTCCCATCTCAAGCACTGGCTTCTGCCCCAGAGCAAGGAGGAAAGGCGATAGTTTTAATGATGACAAGACATGGCCTCTGTATCTTGGCCCCCAGAAGTAACCCTAGATGTAACCCTAGAGTGGACAGTATTCCCTGACACCCCCATCCTGATTGAAGTTGGCTTCCCATGGCTGCTCAGCTACATTTACAACCCATGGAGTCCATACTCGAGAGATCAAGGCTAGCCAGGGCTGACAAGTGCTACACAGAGACCCGATACCCACATTGCTCACTGCCTAGTTTGATAGGGGACGGGACGGGGGTGGGGGGAGGGGTGTGGAGGCGGCTAGACTAAAAGGAAAGGACTGCAGTAGGGCCATGGGCAGCCCAGGCTGAAGAAGGCAGGTTCAGCCCCAGGAAATGCCTCTGCCACAGTCTTCACTTGACCCTTCAGTTCAAGTGTGTCCTGCTCAGTATAGGATTATCCCTAAGCCCTGGAACTCAACTCACCCAGCTTTCTGAGGTACCTCAACATTCAGGAGCCTCTCCAAGTAACTGTGACCTGAGGAAACACAAAGGAACAAAAGGTGTCATCAGAAACAACCAAGTACCACACCAAAGGTCTACAGCATCCGCCTCTAACAGGAGTGATGCAACCGCTCCTGTCACAGACAGAGCCCCAGTTGAGGCCTGGGCCTCACACTTGTATTCATCCTTGCACCCTCAGCAGAACTGTTGGCTTCATGTCTCCTGACAACACACTCATCCAAGGGCACATCTCTGCTCTTTCGCTGGACTATGAGTTTCTTAGGGAAAAGACAATGTCGCCAGAGCTGTGGGCCCAGCTCCCAGCATGAGACCAATACAAGACAACAATATTCATCAAGTGTCTACTTACTATGTGCTGGGTTCTGACACAGGCTTTGGGACGCAATGGTAAACCAACAGAAATACTGCCAAAAAACCCCAGAAAGGACACTTGTGGTATGTGCAATGACAGAAAAGAACAAAGGATTCTGAAAGCCCTGACTGGCCTGGATGATGGGATACAAAGATGAAGGATGGGAAGATGTTCAGGCCAGTGGTGTGCAAAGAGTATTCTCTGACCTCTACAAATTCCCAAGAGCACTTCATGGCATCCCTCAGGTTCTGTTTTCATTATAATCCTGAAGTATTACTTCCCCTTTGCCCTGCATTAATGAAGCCAAGGGGAAAGGAGAAAATGAAGCTTAACACTAATCAAGGGTGTCCTATCATACACTCAGGAATGACTCTGAAGAGGTATCAGTTGTATTACATCTGTACTCCAGTTGTGTCTCTGTAATACTCTGCATAACAAAGGTGGGCATATGCAAGATGCCCATTTGCTCCAAACCCAAGTCTCTATGAAAAGTGCCCAGATTTGAGTAACTGGCTGAACTAATCCTGTCCTTTTTTTTTTTTTCCAGTCGGTCGTGGGGCTTGAACTCTGGGGCTTAGGTGCTGTCCTTCAGCTCTTCAGCTCAAGGCCAGCGCTCAACCACTTGAGCTACAGTGCCACTTCCAGATTTCCGATGTTTTTATTGGAGATAAGAGTTTCACGGATGGACTTTCCTGTCTGCGCTGGGTTTGAACCATGATCCTCAGATCATGATCCTCAGATCTCAGCCTCCTGAGTAGCTAGGATTATAGGCATGAGCCACCGGCGCCTGGCTAAGCCCTGTCATTTTTTTTGGGGGGGGGGATCCGGTCGTGGGGCCTGAACTCTGGGCCTGGGCACTGTCCCTTCGCTTTTCAGCTCAAGGCTAGTGCTCTACTTACTACTTGAGCCACAGCACCACTTCTGGCTTTTTTCTTTTTGCTTATGTGGTGCTGAGGAATCAAACCCAGGGCCTCAGGCATGCAAGGCAAGCACTCTACCACTGAGCCACCCTCCCAGCCCAGCCCTGACATTTATAAAGCACTGTTTCTAACTGAAAGAACAGCTGGCAATCTGTGGTGGTTCAATGTTAGATATTCAGAGAAGCCATTTTCTTAAGACTGAATGAAGTCTGTTAAACAACATACTCATTGACAACAATAAACTGAGCCAAAGAAAGGCCAAAAGTAGAACTTTGAAAAAAACACAGAAGCACCACAGCCTTTTTTTATACCTAAAGATATCCCTGACAGATCAGAAAACAAGTCTTTTTTTATTTTAATTTCCTTTATTTCAATAAATTGTATTTTAAATGTTCAGAGAAGTTACACCTTTGGGTTCCTCCCCTAAGGGTATCCTCCTTTAGTCTGAATGTGTGTGAATGTCTAGAGACCTGTATAAGTTATCATGTCCAGTTACATTTTAGATCTAGCTCCACATATGAGAGGAAACATGCCTCATTTGTCTTTCTGAGCTTGGCTTACCTCACTTAGCATGATTTGTTCTAGGTCCATCCATTTCCCTGCAAATGACATAACCTTATTTTTTCTAGCAGATGAGTAAAATTCCATTGTCTGTCTATGGCACCTGGGCCATTTCCATAACTTGGCTAATAGTGCAGCAATGCAAATGTGCTTTTTAAAAATATTATCTAGGGGGCTGGGAAGGTGGCTTAGTGGTAGAGTGCTTGCCTTGTATGCATGAGGCTCTGGGTTTGATTCTTCAGCACCACATAAGCAGAAAAAGCTGGAAGTGGCGCTGTGGCTCAAGTGATAGAGCACTTGAAAAGCTGAGGGACAGCACCCAGGCTCAACTGACAAAAAAATGAAAAAAAAATAAAAAATAAAAATATTATCTAATAATGTGTGGACATTTGGAAGATGTATGTAACTCAGCAAAACATAGCTTCCAAATGACCAATGTATGAAGTTCTAAAACCACACAGTTAAATAACCCTTTCAAAGTGTGTGATAGACCAATGAGCTGTCTCATTGTATTGGACGTAATAAAAATATATACAACTATTTGAAAAAGCTCATTTCAACTACACTAGTGTATGAGGCCAGATTTTTCCAGATACTTTAACCCAAACCACTTTAATAGAATAATCAGATGCAGATGCTGGCTGTCTTTGGCTAAGCCTAACCATAAAGAGAGATATGTAAACTGTGCAATGAAGCCAGTCTCCTCTCTGCATTTTTGTTTTGGAAAAGATATTTTCATTTAATTAAAAAAAAATCTCACTTGACACCAGTGGTTCACGCCTATAAGCCTAGCTACTCAGGAGGCTGAGATCTGAGGATCCTGGATCAAAGCCAGACCAAGCAGGAAAGTCTGTGAGACTCTTTTTTTTTTTGTCAGTCGTGGGGCTTGAACTCTGGGCTTGGGTGTTGTCCCTGTGCTCTTCAGCTCAAGGCAAGCGCTCTACCAATTGAGCTACAGCGCCACTTCTGGTTTTCTAGTGGTTTATTGGAGATAAGAGTCTCACGTGGACTTTCCTGCCCGGGCTGGCTTTGAACCAAGGTCCTTAGATCTTAGCCTCCTGAGTAGCTAGGATTACAGGTGTGAGCCACCGACACCAGGCTTGTGAGACTCTTATCTACAATAAACCACTAGAAAACCGAAGTGGCGCTGTTGCTCAAGCAGTAGTGCTCTCACCTTGAGCTGAAGAGCTGAGGGACAGCGTCCAAGCCCAGAGTTCAAGCCCCATGACCGACCAAAAAAAAAAATCTCATGTTAAATCATGTTAAGTGAGGTAAGCCAAGATCAGAGAAACAAATGGTGCATGTTCTCTCTGATATGAGGAAAACAGATCTAAAATGCAGTGGGATGGCAAGTTACACAGGATTCTAGATACTCACATACAGTGAGACCAAAAGAGAATAGTCTTAGGAGAAAATCACAAAGTTATAATGCCTAAGCACCTCTTCACATTTATATAAAATAACATGTATACTAAAATGAACTCCTAAGATATGGAAACAAAAGATTTTTTAAATTATTTTTTCTCTTTCTGATGATTCTGTATTCTTTACCTTATATACAGTGTATTTGCATGTATATCTTTGGGAAGGTGGGGAGAGAGCACAGAACTTGAGGAAAAAGATGAAAAAGTGTAACAGTAGAGCTCACTGGACACTGATAAAACTGAACTATACAACTGGTAAGTGGAGATGGAAGGAGGGAATGGGACAGAATACGGGAACAGAAGACGGTAAGAAAGGAAATGTACTCATTACCTGATTCATATAAATATAACCTCTCTGTATAACACCTCTATAATAACAATAAAGTAAATTTTTAAAATATCTTATGTTAGCTAAGCACTGGTGGCTCACACCTGTAATCCTAGCTACTCAGGAGGCTGAGATCTAAGGATCTAAGTTCAAAGCCAGCCAGGGCAGGAAAGTCTGTGAGACTCTTATCTCCAATAAACCACTCAGAAAACCATAAGTGGCACTGGTAGCTCAAGTGGTAGAGCACTAGCCTTGAGCTGAGGAGCTGAAGGACAGCACCCAGGCCCAGAGTTCAAGCCCCACAACCAACAACAAAACAAAATAAAACAAAACAAAATCTTAGGTCAGCCAGGGGCTGGTGACTCATGCCTATAATCCTAGCTACTCAGCAGGCTGAGATCTGAGGATCAAAGTTCAAAGCCAACCCAGGTAGAAAAGTCCATGAAATTCTTATCTCCAAACAACCACCAGAAAACCAGAAGTGGTGCTGTGGCTCAAGTGGTAGAGCACTAGCCTTGAGCTGAAGAGCCAAGGGACAGCGCCCAGAGTTCAAGCCCCACAATCAAAAAAAAAACCCCAAAAAACAAAAAACTTATGTTAACAGATAAGAGGCATGATACTTTTTTGTGGTGGGGGCATTGCTGGGAGTAAACCCAACCAAGCAAGTGCCCTGTCACTTAACCTATTCTGACAGGTTTTTATTTTGTGTTTATGATAGAGTATGCTACTTTTGCCAGAGCTGGTCTCTAACTCACAATCTTCTTGCCTCCATCACCCAAGTAGCTTAGATTATAGGAATACACAATGACACCTGGCTCTTAGGTAATATTTTAAATCTTTAATATTAAGTATTAAACTATAAAATAAAATATTAAGTCAGAAGCCAGTGGCTCACACCTGTAATCCTAGCTACTCAAGAGGCTGAGACCTGAGGATCTTGGTTCAAAGCCCAGGCAAGAAGGCCCATGAGATTCTTATCTCCAAATGAACCACCAAAAAGCCAGAAGTGAAGCCGTGGCTCAAGTGTTAGTGTTAGCCTTGAGCACAAAGGCTGAGAGACAATGCCCAGGCCCTAAGTTCAAGCCCAAGTCTCACACTTAAACACACACATACACACACACACACACACACAATTAAGTAGCATTATAAATGGTTAATTCCAGTTTTTATTTCTAAAAGTAACTATCAGGCTACGGATGTGACTTGGTAGTAGAGTGCTTGCCTAGCATACATGAAGCCCTGGGTTCAATTTCTCAGTACCACATACACAGAAAACACTAACCTTGAACAAAAGCAGCTCAGGGACAGTGCCCAGGCCCTGAGTTCAAGCCCCAGAAGTGGCAAAAAAAAAAAAAACTATCAAAAAAAAAAGTAACTATCAATAGATATAATCTCATAATCAAAAACCTTGAGGCCTTTATCATTTGTAAAACTGGAGACAAGTACTAAGACCAAAACTTGAAAGCCACTGGTCTGGAAAGAAGGGAAAGCACCTGCCAAGCCCATGGGTAGGAAAAATGCTGATGGGATGAAGAAAAGGGCCAGCTCAGCATAGACCAGGGGGTATGACCAGAGCTGGGGCTGACAGGAAGCCAACGTGAGGCCAGGTAGCACCCAGGAAAAAGGGAAGACAGGCAAGATGCTGGAATGGCCAACCAGCAAGACATAGACAGAACCAAGCAAGAAGCAAGGCATCGGAAGCAGGGGCCTCTTCTTTCTGGGGTACAACAGCCAGGCTGGGAGACAGCGAGGGAGCAGCTACAGAGTGAGCCTTGCAGTTACAGGAGGAAACTGTTCCCACTGGAGCCAGAAGATATGGCTTCCCTCATCTCTCCAGATCCACACTCCCTGATGGGTGAAAAGATGCCCATGTGACCACCCAACCTTCACCAATGCAAGAACTTCTTGGAATGATCAATGCCCACTTTATGCCATTCTGGCCTCCTAGCAGATCTGATAGCAGGGAAGTCACTCTCCCTGGCAAGAGGACTGAAGAGCTGTTTGTCAATACAGAAGTAGACAAGGAGACCCAATGAGGAACTTGGCTGGTATAGAACCCTCTAGAAATCCTGCAGCAGGGGCCACTATTCCTTGCTTATCCATTCCTGTGAACTGCTTCCAGGCAGCCCCTCCCCAGGGCAGAGGGCAGGGGCTTCACGCCCCCTCCCTGCAGCTCTACCCTCTAGGGCTCCACACTGCTTCCAGAGGTCCCTGTGCCCTGCCGTTCCTGCCAGTCTCCATTCCCTGCCTGTCCTTCCCACTCCATTCCTGCAGATTCTTAAGTCAAAGTTTGTTTCCACAGGAACCCAAGCCCCACCCCAGAGCCTGGTGTCAGAAGGCTCCCAGAAAGCATATCTTCCTACTTGCTGGTCCTTGCTCTGGGGCAACCTGGCCACTCTCCATTGAGTTTCAGCCACACAGTCCTTTTAAGGTTGTGTTTAAACCAAATTTCCCATACACAAGCACTAAGGTCTCTCTCCACCTTCAAGCCACACACCATCACCATTTCATAGATGGGGCAGTAAGATAGTGAAGGGGTACACCAAAAGCCACCCAGGGGCTTAGTGACTCCAGATCCTGGACTCTGCTTTCTTGTGTCCCTCTCAAGTCACGAAATGAACTAGAATTAGCATCAGACAGACTTGTTCATGCCCCAGTCAGCTCAGAGACCCCCTCACATGCAGGAAGAAACTGAACAGGAACAAGGGCTTAAAACTGCCAGGTTAAGCCGGGCGCCGGTGGCTCACGCCTGTAATCCTAGCTACGCAGGAGGCTGAGATCTTAGGATCGTGGTTCAAAGCCAGCCCTGGGCAGGAAAGTCCGTGAAACTCTTATCTCCAATAAACCACCAGAAAACCAGAAGTGGCATTGAAGCCTCAAGTGGTAGAGTGCTAGCTTTGAGCTGAAGAGCTGAGGGACAGCGTTCAAGCCCCACGACCAACAAAAACAAAAAAAAACTGCCAGGTTAGAGCCATCTTCCCAACTGTCAGGTTCTATGGACTCCTTATGCCTCAGTGTCCTTCTCCGTTCAAGTGCAAAAATGCTGACAAGCCATGGTGGTGCTGCAGACAAATTACATAGGCTTTTCTTTCGTTAAGCCTTGAAGTGTCAGCCAAATCCAGCTGCTAGTGACTATACCCTAGTGTAAACCCTGGCCCATCCTCTCCATCAGTCCTACTGCTAGGTCCATTCTCTGGCTTAGACCCTGCAACTAGCTCCTACCCAGTCTCCCTGCCTACTCTCCTCACTTCCTCTTGGCCGTGTGTGTGTGTGTGTGCGCGCGCGCGCGTGTGTGTGTGTGTGTGTGTGTGTGTGTGTGTGTGTGTGTGTGTGTGTGTGTGTGTGTGTGTGTGTGTGTGTGTGTGTGTGTAGAGTGAGAGCTATTAGTACTAAGGCTTGAACTTGAACTCAGGGCCTTAAGCTATTTTGTTCAAAGCTGACAAATCTTTTTAACTGGAGATAAGAGTCTCACAGACCATCTTACCTGGGCTGGCTTTGAATTGCAATCCTGAGATCTCTGCCTCCTGAGTAACTAGGATTACAGGCATCCTTCCAAACCCTCCCAGCCCAGTCTCACCCCATCATGCAGCCAGCCCTGACCCCCAGAGCTGTCACCTCTCCTCTGTGATTCATAAACTCCTGTTCCCACTAGGACATCAACTCAACATCTGGAGTTGAGATCTGAATAACCAAACCAGCTAATATTACAGTGCCCTTCCTATACCAGGAGCCATCCTAGCCACTCTATCTGGACCAATCAAAGAAAGCTCCCAACATTCTCAAGAGGTGACACTTAGCCAAGTTCACAGATAAATCTCTGAGGCCTATGAAGGTATTTCCATAACCCGTTCAAGGTCACAGAGTTGGGTAGATGATGGTCAAGCTGCACTCAAAACCAGGCCATTAGTCTCTAGAGTCACTTGATTCTCCCCTCCTCTCCTCTCTGCAGATATGCAAAGCACCTGCTCCAACAATAAGCCTGCTGCAATGAGAACTCACATCTCCAGACCAAACATGGTTTCTTTCATAGGAGGCAGCACACACACACATGGTGAATTTAAGTCAGGCTTTACAGAACTGGGGAGGGGGAGGAATCCTCTGGCTCTAGGGAAAAGGCTCAGGTTCAAGCTTTAGTGTAGCCATCTACAATACAATAGGGACACTGGGACCAACCTCAGTTCCCTCTATAAAAACAAGGTTGATCTAGATCTCTACTATCCAATATGGCAGCCACTAGCTACAGGTGGCCATTTGTATCTAAACTGAGTAAAATGTGGTGACACTTAAAATTTACCTCCTTAGTAAACTATTCCTGCAATCCCAGCACCCAGGAGACAGAAGGAAGAGTCTGAAGCTGGTCTGGGCTACACAGCAAAGACTCTAATCTCTAAAATACTAAAGTCCAGGGATATAGCTCACTGGTAGAGTACTTGCCTACTGTGTGCAAAGCCTTGAGTTCAATCTACAGTACCACCAAAAACATAAGGTATAAACAAATAACCTCGATTCCTCAACCAAATTAAGAGTTCAATGATCAGCCATGGCTAGCTAGACCTACATGTCACACAGAAAAGCAAAAATATAGAAAATTTACATCACCACAGACAGGTCTATAGAAAGTCCCTTAGAAACCCTCTAGGTGAGCCTGGCACTCAGGACCACTCCCAACCCAGGATACCCCACACTCACAGATGATGCGGGCAGAAGCAGCTGGCTCTTTGGTGGCCTTCTTGGAAACCCTTCTGCTTGATCTGCGGCTGGTACCATCCTGTTTGGTCACAAGGGAGTACTTGTGGGCCAGGGAGTACTGTTGGGCCAGTGAGACTTGGGGCCCTGAAGGAATCAGGCTGTGCCGCATTGACCGAGTATGCCTACGGGAGCCGTTGGTTTTGGAGCAGTTATCTGGCAGGATGGGGACCAGCACTCGCTCTTGCCATGGATAATATGAAGAGTCAGTTGAGTCTCGGGAAGCTTGAGCAATCTTAAGCTTGGAGGCAGATCGCCCTGTTCCAGCCCCTCCATTCTTAGGGTCCTGGGGGGTAGTCATCAGGGAGCTCACTGTCACAGACTCCAGTCTCCCAGCCTCTGATTTCTTGGGTGTTGGTTCTTCATCTGAAATCAAGACGTCCTGAGAAGCTGGAGGTGGGGTGGGGTTCACAGCTTCTGACAGAGTCAGGGCAGCTGTGAGCTCAGTGAGACGCCTCTCTGCATTCTGGCGGTCACTGATGCCTATCTTCACCGTAACCTTCTTGGTCAGTTCTATGGGAGACCCAGAGGTGGGCAAAGGAGCAGCCGATGGCACAGAAGCTGCTGCAGCTGCGGCAGCCGCCCTGGTTATCCGCCGCAGCACAGGGGAGCCATTCTCTGCCACTACTGTGGCCAGTTTCTCCACCTTGTCTCTGCTGCGGAGCTGTCGGGTGCTCAGCTGGCTGCTCCGAGTCCTTCTGCGGGATAACCTATTAGGGTGACAGAACAGAGACTGTTGGCAATCCATGAGGGCAAGGAAGCACCCCTGTAAACAAGTTAGGGCATAACAGATGCCCCCAGTGGCTACCAGCTTGGATGAAGTATGGATCAAAGGGGTCACAGAGCAGCTCTTCCACCTCAAGCCACCAGATCCCAGTTGCTCCTCTATGAGATCCAGTCTCCTTAAGTAGAAACTAGAAATGACACCTAGGCCTCACCAAACAGCTGACATCTAAGTTAATGATGCTGTGCTAAGAACCTTGGCTTCAAACTTCACTTGTGCTCTCGTTTTTTGCTACAAGGTAGTCCTGGAAGGTGAACTCCATGATTCCCGCACTTTGGAGGAGGAATGAAGAGAGTCAGAGAAGTCAAAGATTACTTTCTAAGGCATGCAGCTGCTAAGGCAGAGCTAGCAGCTTACACCCAGGCCTGCCTTGACTCTCAGACCCAGGGCTTCAGCTCTAATACTCCAATTACCATCATTCCTATGTCTGACTATACCAAGCTCAGATATAGGAAGATTGGGGATCAAAAGGTAAAAGGTCAGCTATTGCTAGGTACTGGTGGCTCACACCTGTAATCCTAGCTACACAGGAGGCTCAGATCTGAGGCTCACGGTTCAAAGCCAGCCTGGGTAGGAAAGCCCATAATACTCTTATCTCCAATAAACCACCCAGAAAAATGGAAGTGGTGCTGTGGTTCAAGTGGTAGAGCGCTAGCCTTGAGCTGAAGAGCTGAAGGACAGCGCCCAGGCTCAGAGTTCAAGCCCCACGGCCGACCAAAAAAAAGAGAAAAAAAAAAGGTCAGCTGCTCTTTCTTCTGCCAGTCTGGAAGTCCTTCCCCTCTCCTCCTCTCCAAGGTTTAGATAAACCCCTACCAATACCACCCCCCCCCAACACACACCTACACAATAAGGGGCACACCCACTCTAAACTGGTCTCAGTGAACACTTCATTTCCCTGTAACATCTCATCCCCAGCAAGGGGACCATAAGTTGTTGTCTCCCCCACTTTTTTATGTCAGTCCTGGGGCTTGAACTCAGGGCTTAGGTACTGTCCCTGAGCTTTCTGTGCTCAAGGCTAGTGCTCTAGCACTTTAAGCCACAGTGTTATTTCAGCTATTTGGTAGTTCATTGGAGATAAGAGTCTCATGGACTTTCCTGCCTGCTTGGGCTGGCTCTGAACTTGATCCTCAGCTCTCAGTTTCCTGAGTAGCTAGGATTATAGGTGTGAGTCATCGACACCCAGCTCTGCTGCCCCTAGTTACAACTTTAGAAGCAAGCTCACCTATGGAGGCTACCTGCCCCACTCACCCTTCCCTAGCTTCTCCTACCTTTTCCTGATGGGATCCCGATTTTCATCCTGAACATTAGAAACTCGTCTCTTCTTCTGTCGGTTCTTCTGAGAAGGAGTCTTGGGCATTAGCTCGGGCTCTTTGCTGAATTCTCTGTTTTGTAAATACAAGGAGGGTCACACTTGAGGCTTCCTGGAAACTACTGGCCTCCCTTCCCACTAGCCTCCATTCTTCCCCTGTTCTGGCAGTGATAGGTCAAACTGGGGCAAGTAGCACCAAAAGAGCTCTCCAAAATGAAGTACAAGCCAGGTACCCAGGGCTTCCTCCTAGAAACATGACAAAGAAGCAAGCTTCCAGAAGAGTCACCACAGCCCTGCACCTGAGAGGCCCAGCTCAGCCACTGTGAGCCAGGCAAGGTATTCAAGCTCTTCTTCCCCTACTCACCTCCAGCTCATGAGGTGCTCAGGAAGGAGCCCCAACAGGCCGTTTGGCCTGTCAAACAGAAAACTACAGCAACACTGGCAGCACCTGCCACCACCCCCAGTCACCACCACACCAACAGGCCCCTGCCTTAACCTGGTGAACATGCGCTTGGCCTCCTCTTCAATTTCCTGGAGCCACACCATGTCTTTATTGTCCATGTTGCAGACAAAGTCCATAAGCTTTTGGTCACATAGCTCCAGCAGGTGAATGGGCCCTGGGGCTGTGGTCTCCATATTGGCTTTGTCTGGAAAAGGCAGAGACAAGAGGCACAAGGACTTGAGTCTGGGGGCCAGAAGAGTCTACCACACAGCCCTCACTCATAAGTCACCATAAAAAACCAGACCCTTCTGAGTGCATCTCCTCCCCAATGCAGAACTCCAAATGCCAAGCCAATGGCCTCATTTCTAGGAAAAGAAGCTTCAAACCCCCCTTCCCCGATACACACACAGTTCCCACACACAGTATGGCTGTCCTTAGGAGTCCACGCTTCCCAACTAATTTGGATTTGAACCTTACAAATGGCCTTTTGGGGGCTTAAGATACCTGGATATGGCCACCTGCCTTCCTAGATCTGAGAGAAACTGCAACTACACCCTATCCCTGCCCCAAACACAAGCCTATTCTTACTCTATGATGGGCTCTCCTCCTACTGTTTGTAAATGGGTAAGAAAGGAGTAAGACACCTATGCTGAATATGAGCTGATGCCAGCCATCAAGTGATGACATTGACTCCAGCTGTCTCTTTATAAAGTCAGTGACTAGAAAGGGGTTCTTTGTTCGAGTAAAGGTTCAGAGACATACTCCACAACTGAAATGACCTAAAAATGGGTTGGGGGAGCCTGAGAGAAATGTTGATAAACAATTCCTTGCTTTTAGGAAAACCTGTCTACAAATATCAGTAGCAGGGCAGGGAGGGCAGGGGGGGAGGACGGACGACAAAACAACAACAACAAAAGAACACAAATTTTTGTTTGTTTGCTTAAGGCAAGGACTAGAACTCATTATCTGACACATTTGCTCATTCTCTGGTATTCTTATCACCTGAGTCAAACCTCTGACCCCCAAATTTTTCTTTAAAAAATTTTTTTTGTTGGTCGTGAGGCTTGAACTCTGGGCTTGGGCGCTGTCCCTCAGCTCTTCAGCTCAAGGTGAGTGCTCTACTGCTTGAGCCACAACACCACTTCCGGTTTTCTAGTGGTTTATTGGAGATAAGTCTCATGGACTTTCCTGCCCAGGCTGGCTTTGAACCGAGATCCTCAGATCTCAGCCTCCTGAGTAGCTAGGATTACAAGTGTGAGCCACTGGCACCCAGCTTTTTTCTTAATTTTTTAAATGGTTAGGAGCTTGGGCATCCTCGTCTGCTTAGGAGCTTAGGATCTGATCATAAAATCACTGCCAAAGCCCCAAGCCAGGAGGAAGAATGTTATAATCATAGTATGATGAATGAAAGTCTGACGTCTCAAGCCATCACGGAATGAATCCTTATGTCAGGCAGTGACCCACCATCCTGATTCAGACCATGAAAAGCAAAAAGAATCATGCCTAGCTCAGCATCCATGTAGGATGAAAGGATGCTAATTCTTTGATCCTTCTGGAGCTTAAGACCATGTCAGATCGCAGCCTCAGGAGGCTTTTTTGGTCCTGATATTGGGGAACACTAGCCATTGTCCTTAAAACAAGCTCTGGGGGCTGGGAAGGTGGATCAGTGGTAGAGTGCCTGCCTTGCATGCATGAGGCCCTGGGTTCTATTCCTCGGCACCACATAAGCAAAAAATCCGGAAGTGGCGCTGTGGCTCAAGTGGTAGAGTGCTAGCCTTGAGTTGAAGAGCTGAAGAACAGCGCCCAGGCCCATGATCAGCAAAAAAACAAACAAAAAAACAAAAAAACAAGCTCTGCCCTCCATCAGGAACATTTTGTTTCCAATTTTGTATGGCTTCCTCCTTCCGATCTCAGATCATCAGGGAGGAATGAACACCAATGTAAAGTATCACCCAGGCCACAATGGCAATCACTGGTTTTAATTCTCTGTACAGTACTTGAGTGACTTGTTCATTACTTGTCTGTCCACTTACTGTTTCCCAGGGCAAGCCCTTCATCTTGCTCATCAGCCAGAACTTAGAGCTCAGCACAGTGCCTGGTACTCAAATGAATTAATCCATCCATCAACTAATGCCACATATTCTCCTTGCCGCACCCTCCTACCACCAGCACCACTAACACCTCAGCACAGGTTAGGGCAGGCCAAAACACACCCAGAGGCCCAGCTCTTAGGTGCCAAGGGCAACACTAATTGAGAGAGAGTTTAGGCAAAGATCTCTGCTCTGCAGCCAAGGAATCAAGGGCATAGCTTCTCCTCTGCCATCTCTCTTAATTCCTCTGCACCCAGATCACAGCCCTGGCAAAGTGCAAAACCCCAGTTCAAGGCCAGAAGGGGGAAAAAAAACTGCTCAAGAAAACCAAAGATGCCGGATGCCAGTGGCTCACGCCTGTAATCCTAGCTACCCAGGAGGCTGAGATCTGAGGATCACAGTTCAAAGCCAGCCCAGGCAGGAAAGTCTGTGAGACTCTTATCTCCAATAAACCACTAGAAAACTGGAAGTGGCGCTGTGGCTCAAGAGGTAGAGCGCTCACCTTGAGCTGAAGAACTGAGGGACAGCACCCAAGCCCAGAATTCAAGCCCCACAACTGACCAAAAAAAAAAAAAGAAAGAAAGAAAGAGAGAGAGGGAAAGAAAGAAAGGAAGAAAGAGCGAAAGATATGCAAAGGAGCTACAGAGAGCAACAATGGGTACCTATTTCAAACCTGCAAAATGCTTCTTTCACAAAATCCAAAAAAGCATTTCCCATGGATTTTAGTAGACCATGACTTAGCCATTTTAAAGAATGAAAAAAAAAAGTCACTGTTAGAACAGAGGTGACCCTGGAAAGAGTCAGAATTACAAAAATCAGTCTCCTGTGAACAGTAGCAAAATCCTTATCCTTAACTGGTTTAAGAACCTGTACACGAGAAGGTTGACATTGACTGAGATACCTTGTAGTCATAAATTGACATGCTCAAATGAAAACCCTTTGTACAACTACTTAAAAGTGTAGGAAGTTCAGCACCTCCCTACCACCCCTCCAAACAGAATGGTCTATTCTACTAGCCACTCCCTTTTATTGAATCCTCCTCCAAGCTAGATAAGGAAACTGAGGCCACGAGTTTAAATCCATCCCCCGGGAAATCGAGGGCGAAGCGTGGATTAAAACTGCACTCTAATCACTAGCTAGAGGAGACTCCGGGACTTCAGCTTCAGAAAGGTGGGCGTCAAGGCTTGGCTCTGGGCCACCCCCCAGGAGCAGCTCCCAGAGACGGGGTGGGGCTGTGTCAAAGTAACGGGCGGCATGGGCCTCAGGAAACAGAAATGGACACTTTAAAAAGAGACCCCGCAGCAGCAGGGGAGCTTGGACGAGGGGCTTCACGGTACGGAGAGGCCTCCGGGCACACTTGAGCCAAACAATCCGGTCCGTTTCCAACTTCCGGAGCTTAAGTAAGTCAACAGTCTCCCAGACACAGAACAAGATGTCAGGCACCCGGGAAGTCGCTGCTTCGGGCCAAGATGGGAAGTTGGGGCGTCACCCAGGACCCTAGAACCAAGGCAGGTCACCTCGCCACCGGGATAGGCGGACCCCCTCCATTCCCAGGCCGGAAGCGGCGGGAGTGAGGGAATGGGTCACACCCCCGGCCTCGACCGGGCAGGGAAGGAGCCCAGAACCGAGGACGATCGAGTCGCTACCCACCCGTACCCCGCTGGCCGCCCGCGCGCACTCACTCGACTGCATCGCGTCTCCTAAGGACTGTTCCGACCCAACTCCACGACCTCCGGACCCCGAAGCCCAGCCTGCCCGGACCCCCACGGCTGCGAGCCTTCAGGGCTCACTTCACCGGAGGAGCCACCGGGTGGTGCAGCGCGGGCGAAATCTACGATTTTCAAACCTGAAGGCTCAGCCAATGGTTGGCAAGTTTGTCAGGGCGGTTACAAAACTCCAAGCCAATAAAGTAGCAGAAAACATCAGTCAACCCACCCATTGGATTTCTGGATTGCCAATCTGCGGGACCAAGAGGCGGGGAAAGGAAGTTATAGACGCTTTAAGCCTCCTCAGCTTCCGGGAACGGTGCGTCGAACACGGAGGACTCCTGCGTTGGCCCGGGACGCGCGGGACTCCAGGAACTACAAATCCCGGCGTGCAATGCGAAGGCCCGGCTCAGCGAAGTACTCTCGCACGAAGTGAGAGAAATGAGACGCGGGTTCTGAGGGGATGCGGACGCCGTTCGCCTGACTCTTCGCCGGTCTTGCGTCTGGCTTTCTCGAAACTTCGTTCCCGATAAAATGCGTGGTAAAGCTGACCGCAGCTACTCAAAGAGGATAAGATCTGGGGACTGTGGTTTGAAGCCAGGCCAGCCAGGAAAGCCCGTGAGACTCTTATTTCCTGTTAGCCACCCATCAGCCAGAAGCGGAGCTGTGGCTCAAGTGGTAGAGCGCCAGCCTTGGGAACAGAGACAGCGACCAGGCCCTGAGTTCAAAACTACCTTGTAAATAGCACCAGTTTGCACTTACAGAGCCGAGTTTTTCTGACAGCCGTGGCTCAACCCCGGGCGAGTTTACGAGCCCGGCCTCTCTCCGAACACACAACAGAGCTGACCATGTAGGGACCAGTTTTCGTTTGAGGGCTGGAAATGGAACTGGGATCCCAAAGATAAAGACCGGCTGTGTTGCTGAGCACCGGTGGCTCACGCCTGTAATGCTAGCTACTCAGGAGGCTGAGACGTGAGGATCCCGGTTCAAAGCCAGTCTGAGCAGAAAGTCCAAAGTGAGACTATTTCCAATTAACCACCAGAAAACAGGAAGTGGCACTGTGGATCAAAGTGGTAGAACACCAGCCTTGACCAGAAGAGCTCAGGGACCATGCCCAGGCCCCAAGTTCAAGCCTCACAACCAACGATAAATAAATAAATAAATGAAAATTCTTTGCTTTCAGCAAGGTAGAAGTACACTGGCAATAATTACCAATGCTGTCTCTCTCTGAACAAAGAAATCAAGGAGTTTTCATTGGGGAAGGTCATACATATTCATGTAGGAAAGGCGGCATCACAAGCTGAATTGGGCACATTCCTGAGCATGCTCAGTTCAGGATCTTGCTTTTTTCATACACCAAATGTTTTTGATTGTGTGTGCCAATAGTGGTATTTAAACTTAAGGCCTGGGTGTTATCCCTTAGCTTTTTCACTTAAGTCTGGTTCTTTACCACTTGAGCCATCGCTCTAGCTTTTTTTTGCTGATTAATTGGAGATAGTCTCCTGAGCTGTCAGGGATGGCTTGGAACCTCTGTCCCCAGATCTCAGCATCCTAAGTAGCTAGGATTACAGATGTGAGCCACCTTGGAGGCATGCATGAGGCTTGGTTCCAGTTCTAGCTATCAGTCTTGGCAACTATTTATCCATTGGGCATCAGATAACATACAGATAAAACCTTATGGCTTGTAAGAACACAATGCATAGGGAAGTGCCCAGAACAAGGTCTACATTGGGGATGCAGGAAATACTGCCTTGGACCTAAAGTGGAATTACACTCTGAACAGCTGGGAATTGCTGCCTGGTCAGCAGCATTCAGGATAGATCCAGTCTATAGGCTGGGTGGATAGAACAACGTTTCCCTCTGAGTCAGGTGCCTTCCTTCTATGTCTATCACCTCCAGTTTGTTTTGACACCCTGGCCACCTTGATACCCATTAGGAAAATGAAACTGTAGCAGTGCCATATTAGACCTGAGAGAGGACAGAGTCTAAGAAAAAGTGTGCTTATGGTTCTCAGGTGAAAAGAGACAGAGCAATTACATCAGAATAAGAATAAATCAAAGCCACAGGAATTTATAGCCATATGATCCAGCCTTACTGCCTTTAGATTTTTTTTTTTGGGTCCGGTCGTGGGGCCTGAACTCTGGGCCTGGGTGATGTCCCTCAGCTCTTCATCTCAAGGCTAGCACTCTACCACTTGAGCCACAGCGCCACTTCTGGCTTTTTTCTTATGTGGTGCTGAGGAATCGAACCCAGGGCCTCGAGCATGCAAGGCAAGTGCTCTACCACTGAGCCACCTTCCCAGCCCTGCCTTTAGATTTTTTTTATTGTGGTCAAAAACAAAAGGGGTAGCTGAGTAACAGTGGTCTGTAATCCTAGATACTCAGGAGGCCGATCTGAGGATCAAGGTTTGAAGACAGTGCACAGGACTCTCACCTCCAATTAACTAGCTAAAAGTCAAAAGTGGAGCTGTGAGATAACAGGCATATTTAGCTTTTTCTATTCAGGTGATGACTCATGAACTTTTTTTGCCTAGATTGGCTTGGAACCATGAGCCTCCTGACCTCTGCCGCCCAAGTAGCTAGGATTATAGGTGAAGGCACCAGCACATAGCAACCCAGCATATTTAAAGAAGGAAAAAAAAATAATAATTGATACAGAAGATGCTTAAAATACAGGTTTATGGGGTTGGGGTATGGCTCACCTGCCTAGGATGAGATCCTAAATTCTAATCCCTGAGCCATAAAACAGTCCAAATGGCCAGTGATTCACTCCTGTAATCCTAGCTACTCAGGAGGCTGAGATCTGAAGATCATAGTTCAAAGCCAGCCCAAGCAGGAAAGTCCATGAGACTCTTATCTCCAATAAACCACTAAAAAACTGGAAGTGGTACTGTAGCTCAAGTGACAGGGAATTCGCCTTGAGCTGAAGAACTCAGGGACAGTGCCCAGACTCAAGAGTTCAAGCCCCACAACTGACAACAAAAACAACAACAACAAAAAACCCAAGCTTATCAGTAACTGTGCTTAGATGGCATTTAACAGTGCTTAACTCTTGTCCCAGTGTCCCAGGGAAATGTAGGTCCCTACCATTGGTCTCGCATAGCCAGGCTTCAGCTCCCTGCATGGTCAACCACAACAAATAAGGTGTCCCCCTTCTTTCAGAAATTACATTCTTTCTCTTTGAATGATTCAGTGAAAAACATGAGTTGCCTGGGGTGTTTTCATTTTGTGCAGTTTTACTTTTATTTATGACCAGAGTGCTAATTCTGTGTCTGTTTCTCTATGGTAGCTGATAGCACAGGTACCCCCAGGCTGTGTTTTATTGAGGGCCCGAGGAAGGCCTCAAAGATTCAGGCCTGTTTATTACCATCTAATATCAGTGACTAGGAGAGGAGACTTACTTATGCTAAAACACATGTAAAAAGAAGATGTATAGAAGGATGCTTACATGTCAGCAGCTTGTAGTAAAGAATAAAACTCAAACGTCAGGCAAACACCAGTGGCTTATACCTGTGATCCTAGCTACTCCAGGAGGCTTAGATCTGAGGATGATAGTTCAAAGCCAGTTTGGGCAGGAAAGTCCATGAGACTTGTATCTCCAATTAACTAGCAAAAGCCAGAAGTGAAGCTGTGGGCTTTGGTGGCAGGATTCAAGCCTTAATCAAAACAGCTAAGAGCTAGCACCTAGGTCCTGAGTTCAAGCTTTACTACTGGCACACACACAAACACAGAACTCAAAAAACCCTTGTGTAAAATCCACACAATCTCCTTCCTAACTCTGGGCAGTGAAATCATAATCAGGCTCATTATTGAGGATTTATTATGAATCATGTGGATAGGCTGAGATAGTTTGGATGTAATCTAGTGCCTTCTCTAAAGCACAATGGAAACCACATATAATCTTGAGGTTGACTATACTCATGGAATCAGCATGTACATTAATGGCTTGCAGATGCATACAGTTTATGACAGGGAGAGTCTTGCCAGTGAGATCAGACACATATGAAATTCATAGCTCTGAGCCATCCTTCCCTTTGGAACATGAAATACTTCAAGTTAGTGGCCTGTACAATTCCTGGATAGGAAATGCCAGCATGAGCCTTTGCCCTTCCTTTTGCTTTGTTCAGGTGTAGATCTCTGCTCCCATCCTTTATTAGTGATCTCAGAGTTTCCCTGCCAGATGGCAATCCCATTTTCTACTTCCCTTACTTCCAGGTATGCAAGGAATGCTGACCTGTGGTGGCAAGTGCTGAAAGGAATCAGACACATTCATTTTCTGCTGCATCCCAGACGAATTTCTTTTACAGAGACGCGGGCTCTGGGATATCCTACTTTCCTTGGATAGCTTGACTCTTGGATGTCCCTTAAAGGCCCCAATTGTGTGTTTGTACGTACCAGTACAGGGACTTGAACTCAGGGCCTGGTTACTGTTCCTGAGCTTTTTTTGCTCAAAGCTAGTGCTCTTCTACTTGAGCCACAGCTCCACTTCTGGCTTTTTAGTGGTTCATTGGAAATAAGAGTTTCACAGACTTAACTGTCTGGCCTGGCTTTGAGTCTCAAGCCTCAGGTCTCAGTCTCCAGAATGGCTGGGATTACAGGAGTGAGCCACCAGTGCTCAGCTCAAAAGTAAACCTTTTGTCTTCATAAGTTGGTTTCCTCTAGTCATTTGTTATAACAACAAAAAGTTAACTAACACAAGTACAGCACTCTTTTGCCCTGGCACAAGGAGACATTGTACAAGGAATTTATATATAAGGTGAGTCACTGAAGGGTCATCCTTCCATCTAATGATTATGAGACTGCATCAATCTAAAATAACAACTTGGCTTTGAAAGATATGAGAAAATAGTTTATTCTAAAGCAGCATAGGCTTGAGAATGGACCAAGGTTGGGGGAGGGGGGAGGAGGAACAGTTTATTTTGAGCTAAATATGAGGAACATGCATTCAATTTACCCTGAATGGCACATTTCTCCAAATAAGAGGTTATATGAACTTTTTAAAATCATGGAACAAAACAAAGGCACAAATTAGTACCATCACCAGCTACATTGGTGGGAATCTCATGTAGACAGGCTATAACAAGCCGGGAAGACTCAGTTACAGTTTCATGTG